AAAAACAAAATATCCATTTTGTTTTGACCCCCCCCCTGCATGCATCAGATACTCCCCTACTTGAAAAACTCATCTCCCAATGAGTTGGCTTTTGATTTCTTCTGAGGAGGTGAGGAGCGAAGACGGTGCATCCAATTCTTTAATTTTTTCAGGATATCTTCTTGCTCTTTCTCGAACTGCCTTTGTAGATATGTCTTCCACTTCTCGAATTTTTGATCACATAAGAACATGCGATATTGAAGCTTGTATAGACGGTCTTGAAGTGGATCAGTTGAATCGCCTTCTGTAGGAATCCATCTGTCCAACGAAAGAGGGACATCAGGATTGCCATGATCGTTTTCTTCCATGAATGAAGCCATTTTTTGTTGTTTTCCTCTTTTTTTTTTTGAGTCTGACAAACTCAAAAAAAAAGACAAAAAAAAACAATCTAAACTTAGACTCACAATAAGGCTCACGACAAGACAAAACTTATAACAAAACTTGACTTGACAAACTCACAAGACTCAATTTTGGCAAACTAAAACAAAACCTAGGACTTCTTAACTTGCTCTGATACCAAATTGATGCAATCAAAAATTTGGGAGAGGGTCCCAAATTTTTGATCACAAAAGAAGACTCTTTCTAGGATCTAGAAAAAATCAAGAACTCACAAAACTAGACAAATTAAAAAAACACAAACTTTTTATATCATATAAAAGGACTTACAAACTTTTGACATAACATTAAAGATGCTTACAAGAAACTTAGAAACACAAACACCCTACAAACGATTCTAACAAGACAAACACCTAAAGTTGCATTTCTTGTTTGAGAAGAAGGATACAGGTGGGATGGCACTTGCGGATAGAAGAAAGAGATTAGAAGCCAAGACGAATGTTGGAAAGAGCTCGCAAGATTTCCATAGAAGTTGAAGAAGAAGTGGAACAAAGCTCTCAAGCTTTTTCCAAGAAAAACCTCTCAGGTTTTGTCCCAAAAATTATCATCATAACCTCTCACTAAAACATACAAATCAACCCCTATATATAGGCAATAAAGGGGAGTTAAACAGCCATTATAACTACTAATTAATTCAATTAAAGGGGGCAATTGAAAGGACAAAATATCAGCCTAGATTTCTGTCCAGAAACAGTCCAAATCTGTCCCAAAACAACAAAAACTGCAGTAGAAAAACTGCATAGAAATCAGGGAAAAACTCATGGTATTCCCCACCAAACAGCCACTTAAAACCTCTTCAAATACTCAAATAAATGAGGGAAATGAAAGGCCAACAGCAGCCCCAACATTGCACAGGAAACAAGGCTTCATTTCCATGGGAAAAAGCCTCCCAGCTGTTACTGGAAAACAGCCCAGACAGGGAACAAAAGAGCCTCAATTAATTTCGGTAAAAGGGGGACCACGGGGCCTTAATCCAGGAGGAAACCAAGGGTTCAAAAACAGCAGGAAACCGCAGCATCCCAAGAGACAAAATGGAGAGGAAAGGGCAAGGAAATGAGAAGAAAAAAAGGGGGAAGGAGAAAAGACAAATTCAATAATCAATGAGCTAATTCTTTAGTTCCATAAATGAACTAAAAAATAGCTCATAATGAGCTAACTTTTAGCTCAAAATATTAATGAGCTAGCAAGCTCAAAAGAAGTCAAAACCAAAATATTCATTTCGTTTTAACCCCCCCTTTGCAGGCATCAAAATTATAGACAAATCTACATACTGAGTCGGCATTTCGATTTCTAAGAAATGAATAGTCGATTCAGAATTGAAATCTATGCAGCAGAGAAGTATTTTAGCAGATGTATATTTAACATCTATTTGAGAAGGGTAGGAAATTGAGAAACATGCCTTACGTAAAAGATATAAATAACAGCACAAAAGCACTTCAGCCGAGAACGAACAACAAAGGAAACTAAGCTCTCATTTGACTCCTAAAAGGTGAAAAATGGTAGTTATATAATAAAGTCTCTATAACTCGAGCACTTCAATCACTTTGCTTCGCTGTAATTTTTCTCAACGCAATGCTCATTGGAGAAAATATCGTTCCTCTATGTATTTTGCTCAGCTTTTAGAACTTGTGCCTGAGCATACTTTTTAGAACATTTTGACACTACATGGAATGTAACTATTCTTTAGATTCACTAAAACATGTAGTCTTATCAGCTTATTCATATCTAAAAAATGAAAGTAGGTTGTACTGTTATTCTTTCCAGGTGTGCAAGATAAAAGATGCAACAGATATTCTTGATGAGGAGGCTATTCAGGTTCATCAGGTTGAGGAAGCATTTGTTGAAACGGTGCTGTATGTGTGAATATATCTCTGTTGTTTTAATCGTAGATAAAAGTTTTAGTTAGTTGCATTTAGATTGGCTATTCCATTGTTCTCTTTTCTTGATTCTGTTATGATTTGCAGAGCTAAGGCCAAATCTCCTCCCCAAGATATGCTTCTAAAAGTTGAAAAAGAACCTAAATATAAGGAAGAGGCTGAAGGGACCACCCATTTTGTTTACAAGCTTGGGCTATCTAAGCTGCGGTGCTGTTTATTGCTAAATGGTCTTGTACATGAGCCCAGTGAGGTGTGTTTTTCATTTTTTACAGGTTCTCTTGATAACAGTGCCTCAAGGATGTGACATCGATCTATCTAATTCTTTTGTCATGGTAAATGTAGACAGCTCGGCGCTTAAATTTAAAAAGTAATAGTACAATGCAAGGTAGTTACAAAATAAGTATTGCTAGAGTAGAAACATCATGCACTTCATTATTGAATCTGCTATTTTTATTTAGACTAAATAGATGGATTGTAGCGTTATTGTTACCTTCAGGTATAATTTGGTCATGAAATGAAGAACTTAGATTTGTCTCCATCTTTCTAGGTGTATCTCTTCATGTCCTTGCCTTCTGCTTTGGATCTATAAAATTATGAATCATTTCTTAAAATAAAATCAATATATTTGGATACATTGTCTAGGATGTGGGCTAAAAAAAAATTCACACCATGGCTTGGTTAAGAGAGTTTAAGTAATTTGGATGAAATTTTCAAAATGTAGAGTAGATTATAGATGAGACATTACCTAGAGATTTCACTCTCATTTTGCGATGACTTTAAGATGTTGTTTTATGTTTCCTATAAGTGCAATGCCCCCATGGTTAATTATTTCTCTTGTTGAAAAAAGAAGTTTTTTTGATTAAGGCTAATTGGTAGATTATTGCTATATATTTAGTGTGGCCTTAAACAAGAAGGAAATTTATTGTTGTTAGCTTAAAGTGGATGATGTGGAGAATGATGACACTATTGGGGTGTATGTGCTAGTGAATGGGTAGGAATGAGATTTAAAAAAAAAAATTTAAATAATGGTAATAATAATACTATCAGCCAAAAAAGTCTCTCTCTCTCTCTCTCTCTCTCTATATATATATATATATATATATATATATGACATATGTATGACTTTTGCCGCCCGGACAACTTGAAGTCGCCTCATCACCTTGCACAAACAATATTTTTTATTTTTTCTTTGTGTAGCGACTTAGGCAATATGAGTGTTATTTAAACTGTTTCTACTACTAATAACACGTCAACATAGTCCATTTCACTAATGGATGTTTGAGCGATTCAGATTTTTAGTTGATGAGTTTCAGGTAACATTTGCATGTGGTTATGCCCATTGCTCGCCGTTTTTGTTGTAATCGATTTGCTCAACTTTGGATTACTTATCGATTTAACAAATGCTCTCCAACAAATATGGTGCGCACCTAAAGTAGGCCATATTTGTTGCAAAATAATAGATGCCTAAGAGTTCTTCTGGACATTAAATTGAGAATTTAACTTTATAGATTTTTCTTAGAACATTCTTGGATGCCAACGTAAGGTAGGACATATTGATGTAGACAAAGGGGGGGTCAACTCAAACCCAAAATAAATTGATTTTTGGCTTCTCTTGAGTCTACAAGCTCAATCAAAATTGAGCTGAAATTTTAGCTCATTTATGAGCTGGTCTTTAGTTAACTTATTGAACTAAGGGTTAGCTCATTATTAGCTAACATTTTAGTTCATAGTTATCTTTTAATTAAATGTAATTTTTATGTCTTAATTAAAGTTTGTCTCTTGGAATTCCAAAATGGCCTTTGGAATTCCAAGATGGTTTGTTTTCCCATACCTTGGCTCTTTGGCTTCCATGGTGGGCTGCTGTTTTTCGTGCATGGATCCTTGGACTCCTTGGTGGCTGTTGGTTTTCTGAGCTGGGGGTTCTTCCCGTGGCTTTTGGCGTCTCTGTTCAGGCGGGCCTCTTGGGATCCCATGGCTGCTCCCTCGGTTCCCTGACTGGGTTGTTTTTCCGTGAAGTTTGGGGGGATTTCCGTGGTTGTGATGTTTGGGTTCTTGTGGAAATTTTTTTATGTGTCTACTTGTATTCCCTTCTCATACCTATATATATGAGATGTTTAAGAGTTGTAATGATATGTTATGTGAATGATTTTTGGAAAAGTAAACTGATGAGGTCATCGATAGGAGATTTCGGCGCGTCTATCATAGACGACCACGGAGATCGACGGCCATGATGGAGAGCCTCTATTATTGATATATTCTCCTTGGTAGAAACTGTTCAACCGGAGGAGATTGGAAGGAGTGTCAGATGGTGACCCTATTGAAGAGGCAATTTGGGCTTTGATAGAAAACCATGATTTGCAAGGGACTGTTGAAGTTGATGATAGTCTTGAACAATATGAAGAGATGTTGAGAGGTCGTGGTGTTTATGGCGACTTTTTCACACGTGAAATTGAAATGTGGAGAATATAACCCACTGGAAAGTATAGTTGACCAAGTGAATTACAGGATGCTCGGCACCTTGGAGCTGGCTATTTTGGGCTTTGGTGCTTCTTCTGTTTCATCTTTGTTTTCTTGTGGTGCTGCTCCTTTTATTAGCTAACATAATGATTGGGATAATTTGATCGGCTATGGCCAAGCCCTAGACATCTAAAACATTTGATATGTTTGGTATTATTAGTTGATATACTTGCTTTGCTGTTGCTGACAGCTTGGGTGGATTAGTAGATGGAATATTTTGGGGTGGAAAATGCTTTGCTCTTTCATGGGCTTCGTACTTGGTAGATTGTTGTTGTTTCTCAACCCTAAGGCTAATTTGGTAACATTATAAAATGTCTAATATTATTGCAGTTAGACAACATGCGGATGAATTGTGCAATATTATGCTCTGCGGGCTTCATTATATTGCATTTCAACTTCAGTTGTTCAACTTCACATTATATTCTTCCACAGATAATCCCTTGTGTTAAAATTATGAGCTTGATATATGTTAGACCGGTCCAGCCGGTCCACGCGGGACCGGCCCAAACACGAACAAAGCCCGTCTGCTGGGATGCCGCGCAAGCTGTACGCCTTGCGGGAGCCGAATAGGAAGTATTTTTTTGGGGAATTAAGAGGGGAATTTGAATGTAGGGACTGTTTAGGGATTTCCTTTTGATTTGTATGCATTAAATACTTTGTTTTCCTAGAGTTAGGGCATCTTGGATTTGGCTGAAATTTGATATCTCTTAGATTTAGGTTTTCTTTGGGCTCTAGCGGCATCTAGAGATTTGGGAGAGATCGATCCTCCTCTCGAATAGAGGATCAAGTGTATCTTGCTATTTTCCGTTTCACTCTCATCAAGTAATACAAATTATCTACTGTTTTTGTGATTTTGTGCGGATTTTTGTGAAGATTCTCGCTGTTTTAGAAGATTGATAGGAAATACTTGTGATCTACAAGTGTTCCCTATCAAATTGGCATCAGAGCAAGTCTTGGGTCCGTTCGTGGGTTGATTTTGGCGAAGTTTGGTGCCCAATTTTTGGTCGAGAAGGGACTAAGTGCTGTTTTTATAATCCAAATCCGGAATTTTCAAATTTACAAAAGTTTGGATCGAGATAGCGGCCAAGAAAGTTGATGTGCTAGAAGAAAGGCTTGAAGGGGAGATGAACCAAATCAAGACAACGGTGGTGGAAAGGATTTCCTTCATGGAAGGACAAGTAGCCGATCTTCGGGACATGATAAAGAAAATGTTGGAAATCCACAACCAAACGGCGGCTTCCGTGGAAAAGGAGGAAAGAAAAAACACGAATTTTGAAATTTGTAGGGAGGAAGATGAGGTGGAAATCGTGGAGGGAGAAAGAAGGAAACCCTATCTGGAGCCTTTCCTGAGGGAGGATAGAGGAGGTAGGTATGGGGAAAAGCATGGGTATGGAGGGACGGAGCAAAGGGGTGCTGATTGGGAACGTCGGGAGGGACATTATTGTCGCTGAGGTGCTGATTTTGAAATAAGAAGGGGGGAATTCGAAGGGGGTTTGGGCTATGGCAGGGCAAGGAAAAACTGGGAGACGTGGGGTGGGCCGAGCACTTGGGAGAGGGACAACTATGGAGGAATAAGGGGGAATGGTGGAGATCAGAAGGTGAGGAAGTTGAAGATGCCTATCTTCGAAAGGGAGGATGCGTATTGGTGGATCTATAAGGTGGAGATGTACTTTGCCATTAATGGGCTAATGGAGGAGGAGAAGCTTACATCAGCAGGCCTATGTTTGGAGGGGAAGGCAATGCCATAGTACCAGTGGAGAGATCAGAGGAGACCTATCAAGGATTGGAGGGAATTCAAGGACTACATAATAGAACGTTTTCAAACTGACCGTAGAGGAGATTTTTATGAGCAGTTATTTTTTCTTGCACTGGAGGGATCGATAGCAGACTACCGGGACCAGTTTGAGCACCTAGCCAGTAGGGTGGAGCGATTATTAGATACGGTATTAGAGAGGAACTTCATGAAGGGGTTGAAGGCAAAGATCTGAGCGGCAATGAAAGTTCTGATGCCGAGTGACTTTGGGGAAGCCATGAAGTTGGCACAGCTGGTGGAAAATCAGAAGAATCTGGAGAAGGGAGCTAAGACCAGGATCTCAGGAGGCTCTTACAAGATTATAACCACTCTTCTAGCACCCAAGGGCCTGCATCAGGCAACATTAATGAGGCCACTAGGGAGAAGCTAGTAGGAGTGGGGAAAATTTCAAGAGGCTGATAGAGAAGGAGATGCAGGAGAAGATGGCAAAGGGGTTGTGTTTCAGGTGCGAGGAGAAGTATACGTCAGGGCATCGGTGAAAGGACCGAACTCTTCAGGTTCTCATCGTCTGCGATGACGAGGAAATTGAGGAGGGAGGTGAGGAGGAGACAGAGGAGGAGATTGAGGAGTAGCTACACTTGGATCTGACTGAGGTTTTCCTGAACTCAGTGGTAGGATTCACCACGAATCATACTATGAAGGTGAAGGGGGAGATAGAGGGCAGGGAGGTGGTGGTGCTAATTGATAGTGGGGCTACCCATAATTTCATTTCGCTCAGGTTGTCAACTAACTGAGAGTGAAATTGGTGGAAACTGGTTGTTATGGGGTGATAATATCACGGGTACATGGACGGTGGAGAAAGGCCAGGGGATTTGTAAAGGAGTGGTGTTGACCATTCAGGGGATTCAAGTAAGAGAGGACTTTCTCCCACTAGAGTTAGGAAGTACTGATGTCATCCTGGGGATGAAGTGGTTGCAAAT